TTTTCGACAGCTTATAGGTAGTCTAATGTACTTATCTGTCTTAACCAGACCAGATATAACCTATTCAGTTAGTTATCTAAGTCAATATAATAAATGTCATACAGATGAGCATTGGGGTTATGCTATTAAGTATTGTAATGTTGCGCGCCTAACTTGATGTCTGGTACCTGGCACTAGCGCCATCTAGTGTCGGGGAACAGAGCGAGGAGAGCTTTCCAGAAAATGCCATGACTGAACTTTCAACCAACAGCGCCATCTAGTATCGAATAGAAGAACTAAGCTTTCTGGAGAGCTCTACACTTGAACTTTCTGCACCTGGTCGATTGGGGGCCGGTAATTGCTGGAATATTCTGGATGTATCGGTGAAAAAGGCGTATATGTAGGCGTTGAAGCCCGCCAACGGGGCAGTATTGACTTGGCGATACGAGCGAAGCTTTCGGAGTGAAATAAAGTGAATTAAAGTGTTAACTGTGAATAATTATTAGTTTGATTTAAGTTTTAATTGGTGTTCAGTAATTAAAGTATCAATTTTGGTAATTCAATCGGCAGTTTTTACTGTCACGAACCCTAAGCTCGTAACAGTAATAATGGAATTTCCAATATAGAAGGTTTTGTGGATGTCGATCTGGCAAACAATACAATAGATAGGCGGTCTCATACCGGATTTTGTTTCTTATTTTCTAATAGTGTCATATCTTGGGAATGCAGGAAACAAAAGACTGTAGCCCTATCAAGTTACTCAATAAGGTTACCTGTCACCATGGCTGTACTGATAAATCACTCGTGAAGGAAATATTCTGAAGCTCCCTCTTGAATAGATCTTCGGAATTTTCTAGAGATATAATTTTTTTGTTAATATTATTGTGGTTCTTCTCCACGATTTCTTTAGTGTGTTTTAGTAAATTAAATTCCGCTTCCACTACGGTCGTTTGATTTTTCCATAGGGTCGCTAAATGGTCTTTGCTCTTGCTATTCATGCGTTTCTTGCTTGCAAATCTTTTATTTCTTTATAAAATTCCTCTTTCTGTACTCGTTTGATAATAAACTTTTGCAACTCGCTTTTGACTTTCTGTAAATAAATCTTAAAATCCAACCTAATACTTTGACGCATTTCGATAATGAACTGTAACTTTTTAATAATTGCTGTATAACTTCATGCTTGAAGGCTACCTGTGTAACGCTTACCGATTTTAATTTTCTCATCTCTTGATCAGTGGTATATTCTGCTTGTTTTTCATTTTTTTGACGAAACGAAGTCAACCAATTAGGCCCTTGCCACCACAAAGTATGATCTCTGAGTTGAATGGCGTTTAGACCTCGGCTGGCACAATCAGCTGGGTTTTCCTTAGACTTGACGTTACGCCAGCATTCAGGTGGCATTCAAGCTGTTATTTGTTTCTCGCGGTTAGCTACAAATAGCTTCCATCTCTCTGGGTCACCGTGAAGCCAACCCAGCACCGCCGTCGAATCAACCTAACCATAGATCTTGATTTCGTAGCCCGACATGTTTGATGTAAATTTTACTATTAACTTGGATATACTGTCTTTTTGAGAGGCACGAGTTAACGGCACGGTACGGTCATTCCATTGTACGTGAACTTCGTTAAGCACGTATTCGTCCCAATTAATATCCACTTTCTAAGACTCTTGAAATAAAACCTAAAGTTTTGTGGTGAGTGGAGCGATCCATCCCATGGGATCGTTTTGTTTAGATATCTCTAATAGCATTTATTTATTTTTATTTATTTTATTCTTTATTGCATCCTTAAACAAAAGAATACAAAGGGCGGACTTAATGCCTTGAGGCATTCTCTACCAGTCAACCCATGGAGTGGTGAGAATTTGATGTAGGTGTGGCAATATATAGAATAAGAGAACACTATACAAATGATAATTAACTGCATAATATATACAAACTACTAATAAATAAACTATACATATATGATCTATCCTTACATATATACAAATATATAAATGGATATACATACAAGTATATATATATATATATATATATATATATATATATATATATATATATATATATATGTGTATATATTTAAATACATACATAATTAGTATAAAATACTATGAATATATACGTCTGTTTGTCAATACATATTAAATAGATGAGTCATATAAAATGCATTGTCTTTAAGAAATGATCACGGACCAACTTTTTAAAAGCGTACTTATTGGGAGCTTTTCTGATGTCATCGGGCAAGGAGTTCCAAAGACGTGTAGCCTGAACTGTGACGGAGTTACCATAGAACTCGGTAAATTGAACTGGATTGGAACTGGAAGCATTATTCGTGGTCGGTCTTGATAACGACGTAGTTGATTTTGAATTGAACGTTAAACAGTCTCTTCGTGGATTACATCCGAGTCCTAAAGTGTTCGTTGACTCCGCTTGCTTGAAGTCAAAATTTCCTTGATTATTCTTCTCAGCTGTTGCATTTTTGAGTAAAGCAGGTAAGTTTGACTTCCATTTTCTTAAGTTAAATTCACCGGTATTTAATAAACTGCTCAGGTCCTTTTTAACCGCTTTGCTGATTCAATAGATTGAACTCCGTGAATTAGGTCATTCATGTAAAATGACTCTTCAAGTATGCGTGGAGCCGAACTCTCTTGATAATTTGGCCTCTCATCTCGAGCTTATTGTATGATAGTACACACGGCCCAAAAAGGGACCGCTTTAGTGCCATATGTATGATTCAGTGACTGAATTTGCATAACATATTTAAAAGTAAACTGATATGTGATGAAAATATAAGCCTTTTGTTAATAAATCTTTGATTTAAAATCTCCCAACACACATCGTAGTTGTTAAAGCTGACGCTGAGATGCTGGATTAATCTCTCGGCCTCTCCTTTCACTTTGGTCATGAGATACTGCATCTTCTGCGCGTTGGACATAGACGGATTGTTATGGATTGTTTCAGTGAAAAGGTCTTCGAAAGAAGTCCAGGTGTTATAATTTCCACTGAAAGTCGGAATCTCCATCTGGGGCGTAGACTTTTCCCTGTGAGCCACTGACCACATTTTTTTATTAATGGCTTTCTTGATTCTATTGTAATCTGATTCGTAGCCGGTAAAAGTATCTTCATATTCTTTGCTCGACCCTTCCAGCTTGCTATCTAAGTCCCAGTGCAGCGTGTCAATCGCTGCCCACCGGGTTTGAATCGTCCGTAATAAATCATCAAATTCCCACTTTTGTAACACGGAATCAAGGTCAATGTTTACTACAGTACGCTGGAAAGCTTTAAAATGTCTAAACTGTTTTTTTCGCATATCGACTGTCTTGCTCGTCGAGCCAGTTGCTTGCCCTGATGATCGAGAGGATTCGCCTTCTCTTATCACAAAAGTTGGTGGCTTCAGAAGAGGTGTTCTGGTCCTTTCTCCTGTAAGCGGCTGAAAGTTCTGTGTATGAAGCCTAATAGACCCGTATCTTTCGGCTACTCGTTCGAATTCTTGATTCGTAAAGTAGCTATTAGATTCAATACCGAACTCTGATAATCTTGTATGATTATTTTTAAACTCTAGCCTATACATATCCAACATGTCTAATCTACGTTGTATATAGTCTTCTGTCTTCTTTTCTGAGCTATCTTTTTCAAATTTGGTAAAGACATATCGCCGGAGCGATTTGCTGCTGATTAGTAAGGAAGTCGTCCATTTTCTCTTGAGAAAAAGGGCTGATCTTACTTGATATCTGCTGAACGGCGAATGTGAGCCGACTCGCTCGCCGACTGATGATGACCGGAGACTTCGTTCTTCAGACAAGGCGTGCACCTTGATCGCATACCGTCTGATACTTGCTGCGCCACAGGTTTCTTGATAGCAGAGTAAAAGTCACGCCACTACGCACCATATGTTCGAAAAAATCCGATAGGTTGCTGAGCGGAAACGCTGACATGCACACACAGCAATGTAAGAGAAAACGAGCCGAAGTCCCGCTTTTTTGGAAAGCTCGAAGGACCAATGTTCGGGGTAGTACCGGCACTAAGGGGTTGATAAACTGATAACGCTTGATAAGTTTGATATAAGATATTGTGGATAAGTATACAGATTAAAAGATTAGAACTACAGATAATGAGTACGCGTAGCGCTCTTGATGGCTATAGGCGAACTGATTTTAAAATACGCGGAAATATGTAAAAAAAGATCAAGTTGTGAAATGATGACTTAACAATTGTACGTTGCATTATATGCTCGTACATCTGATATAACAAACTATAAAAAATAAATTAACAATCACATTTTTCTCCTAATATTATGTGTATTCCTACCGAATATAAAACAAACAGTTTTTGTGATATGTCCGACTTCCTGTGCAATTTTCAAAACATGTAGGTATATATAAATAAGCAAGGATGAATAATCAAGATTCGTTATGTTAACTTTATAATAATATTGTCATGCTGTGATTTATATAATTTTTGATTTTATACCAAGTATTTTGATAGTAACAAATAACGAATACTTTTTGAAGTATATACTCAGCCGCTTAAACAATTTGGGCAGATATCGGGATTAGTACTACAAGTGACCTCTAACCATTGTGACACCTGATATACTGTATCCATTCCACGTTAGGTCCTACTTTATTAAAATATCTTTTTCCGCAGATTGCACAATAATCATCAGGATCATCAGAATCGTGAAGATTCTTTTCAATTCTTAATTTCGTTTTGCATTTTTTATGTCGTTAGTTTTAAAATGTTGATCATAAGTTTGTTTGATTCTTTTATTTATTTCCTTTCTAATCCATAATCTAATCCGGGAACAGTGAGCGTTCAGCTTCCTTTTTTTTCTTAAGAACGCTTGTTTTAACACTTTGTGCTTCTGGGTACTTTTAATGTTTGATGATAATGGAATGGATAACTTCAAGTGGTTCACGATTTTCTTGTAATTCTGGATTTGATTTGTCTTCATATCTATTTTAATGAGTTGCGTCATAACATAATAATTTTCAGTGTTATCAGCTGGTTCTTTAATTCGGAGTTAATTATTAAATTTATGCTCTTCGTAAATTTCTGATGTTGTAACAATAGATGTAGATATAACATTTTGTAAATCTAAGTCTATTGGTGGCGTACCTTTTATAAAATTATGAAATGTATCCTTCATTACTTCTATTTGTCTGTCAATATCTTGCGAACGAATATTAAGTTTGCTTAAGTCCGTCCAATCGGATAATATATCATTACTGTTTTCATGTGTTTTGCTCATAAGTTGAATATTTGAGCCCAAATCTGTATAATTTAAAAAGGCAATCTCTGTTTTCGTTATAATTGATTTTGAGTCACTGAGATCAAACGTGATAACAGAAATACTGTCTAAAGTAACATACGAGCCAACTTTGTGAGTATCAAGTATAAATACGTTCTTATCAGGGGAATTTGTGAATTTAGGTGTAGATTTTTGTGAACTTTTTATTTTGGAAGTGAATTTGCCTCTTCCAGTTTTTGATTTTATATCATTTAATTCCTTTAAAATTACGTTTGTATCAATTCCACGTTTTGAATCTAGGTTTGCAGCTCGTATAACTTTCATAGCAATATCGATGTCTGGGATCTTTAACACATTTAGTATAATCAACAGCCTCTTCATATAAAGGAAACAAACTGCATTTCTTGAATCCATTTTTTATCTGCTGGAGTATATCAAACGCATTCGTGCTTTTGCAAATAAGGGACAAAAGTCAGCTTTTGTCACAGCACTGTTACACGGATCTTCGGATTCAGAATTGAATTCCCTCACAGTATTCTTCCAAGCTTGCTTCAATGGCCTAAACACACTCACGTCTGCAGGTTAAAGCATGTGTGTCGTTCGTGGGGGCAAAGTTCACAAAACTAGCTCAAGGGTAATGTCATATGAGATTTATGACCATCTACTAATAAAAGCACAGGTTTTTTTTCTTGATTAGCTATTTATTAAAATCGTTACAAACATTATATTAAAAAATTATTAAATATATAATTTAAAAAAATAACGCCACGCATCTAGCCACTTTCGGATCGGCCTAGTACCCAATATTTTGGCATGCTTTGTACTATTAAACAAGGAGGTCGTACATATGGAAATATGAAAAGTGGGGGACAAATCTTTCCATTAGCAGTAAATATTACCAAAACTAATATTTTCTTTTTCTTTAATCACTTTTACTTCATAAACATTTTTGTATACTTAACTTTCCCAGTTTGAGGGCATAATGAAAATCCAGACTCATCATCGTTAAAAATTCTGTCACCATCATTTAAAACGTCAGAAGCATTATCCTCGGTTAACTATTTACGAAGATATTGAAACTAAATTCTTATTGTAGCTTCAGTCACTAAAGCTCTATATTTGCTGATATTTTCGGGAACTCTTAATGAAATTTCTGGATGCTTCTTTGAAAACGATTTTAGCCACTCTTTTCCGATATGATATCTTTAACCTTTTGAGCGCCAAAGTCGTCTATACGTGACCAGCACCTGCGTGCCCTGAGCGCCAACGACGTCTATAGTTGACAAAAAACCCGGCCCACAAAAATATGAAATATAGACATTGGAAAATTATTACTGGTATTTTAATTCTACACCCCTCAAAAAAGAATAACTCAGTAACATGTGAGTATATAAAACAAGTCTCCTAGAGCCACAAGTAATAAGAAACATTGAACTATGTCCAGCACGCCAAAGTCGTCTATGTTAGACCGCTAGTTGTAATGCATTAGGCATAAATTTATTGAAAACTATTCAAAATTAAGCTCAAACGTGTTATTTTTTTTTCTATTATTATTGATATTTAAATAAAACAAAAGGTTAGAAATATAAAACTATAATTAGCTACATGAATTAAAAAAAATATCAAATTATCTTCGCATAATAAATCTAATATCTCAACTTTGGCGCATCCTTAGCGAGACATCGAAAATCAGTTCACTGGGCGCCGTAGTCTAGTATAGACGACACGCTGATGATGTCATAAGCGATTAGCGGGAAAATTAGTGCAGTGCAACATGAACGATTCCTCAGCCTCAGAACTCATTCGGATTTTGGAAAGCGTCGACGATGATGAATTTTCGGAATCTGAATCATTACCTGAAGATTTAAGTGAGGTAAGTGTCTTAAGTTCCTAATAAATTAAACTTATTTTACTAACATGCATATTGCCTATTTTATGTATCTATTATTTTATAATATTTTGTTTAATTTTAAATATAATAAGTTCGATACATATTGGAAATGTTTCCCGGGCGACTCTTGTGAGCACATTTTTTATGTTTTTGTTTTCGAGTTTAGAATAACTCATCATGTTCTCTTTTATACTGCAACTAGTAGATATTTTTTCGGTCAAAAAAGCGAATGGTAATATTGTTTAGCGAAATAAATATCTTAAGCCATATTTCACCATAATCCTTCCGAAAAGTAAGTACCGTGAGTAGACCATAAATCATAAATCAACGTAATGAAAAAGCATTAAGGTCCAAAATAGTATATCGACTTTCTACGGTTACGGTTTCGGTATTACAATCGTTTCGAGTAGTATTGTGAGTAGACTAAAAATCAATGTAATGGTACAACATTAAGATCTAAAATAGCGTGTCGACTTAGTACTAAATTGCTCTTTTGTTCTCGGCGGCGACGTTCTTTTTTTGTTACTAACACTTTCGCGTCTTACAGTATAGCCGAACAAAAGTTACCTACCTAAATAAATAAAAAATTGAAAATATCCAAGTAGAAATAAGTATATGAACATAATTTAGTACTTATATGTTTTAGTGACAGTTTCAATAAAGGAAAAATATGTATTATACAATCCGTACCTGCTTAGCGATTTTATGAGTTGTTTTCTATTATTTTAATAATTTGATGCATAATGTAGCGGCGTTTCATAATCGGCACATTAAAATTATCATGAAACCAAAGTTTTTCATTTTCGATTAACTCTACCTCAATGAGGTAGGAATACACTTTATAGTTTTTTACGGTTAATTTCTTTTTTATAGCATAGGGTAATAAACGAGCACGCAGTCCACCTGATGGTAAGTGGTTGCTGTGGCCCATAGACATTTACATCTATCCTCGATTACGAATCAAAATGCAGATGCGCTCTCACCCGTGAGGACTTAGATGGAATGCCTCGTTTCCAGTAAAGAGGGTCTCCGGTTCTCTACACTTGCCATACGAAATACAGCAGCATTAAGCTACTATTTGACGCCGGTATTCCGTGAGAGCGTGGTTTTCCCCCGGTTGAGCCGACCCATTCGTGCTACAACTACTCTCTCGTAATATAACTGCAGCATGGCTCTACCACGTTAGAAAATTTGCTTTGGACAGCTAAACATTTGTTTTATTATTCCATAAGATTTTTATTATGTTAAGACTAATATTACCTATAATTTATTAATTATTTTTAATTGTTGTCTTCTATATTAAGTACTGATTGAGTTAAAGACCAAGATTTTAATATTTTAAGACTAGACTAGATTAGTGAATAATTATGTACCTTTTTTATTTTAATAATATATAATTACAAATAATAAATGTGTTTTCTTTACTTAAGGTATGAAGAGCAATTTTTCATTTTGTGTTGTGCGATTTTCTTTCTCAATCCAAAACCATTTAGCAACATCAGCATCATATGAAACCCCCATTGTCATAAGAGCGTAAGACTTTTCTTCTGTGATTCACTTGGCCTACGCCTCGCCATAAAATATTTAGAATCGATGTCTGTATATTTTGGTTAGATCGATTTTGAAATCGATACACAACGTGCGACACGGCTACATCTCTAAGAAAGTTTCAAAAGAAAGGTCAGCTACGCCGTTGTCGTCCAGTCGTGACAGTGACGTCATCACGATGGAGAGTAGTGTTGTGGTTTACTACTATTTTATTGTTATTGTTTCTTTTTTATTTATGTACAAAGTACATATATAAAAAGAGTGGAAGACAGCACAAGATTAAATAAAACATACCCGATTATAAAGAGTCATTTATTGTATAAAAAACCAACAAAAACAAGTTATTTTGTGTTATCGATATATCAACTCTTGGCAGCACTGTTTTTTTCGTAGGTATTTTTGTTTACTTTTCGCTTTGGCGTACAGGACACGGTAGTGAGTTTTTGGCGTGGCGCTCAAAAGGTTAAAGGGGTTTTTTAGGTTTGATTCTTTTACTATATTTTCTACCGTTTTTATTATCGTTCTGTTCAAAGGAAATCCTCGTTTTACCATTTCAATTACGTAATGCAATTTTTTTTCTCTATTTAATCCGAAAGAAGAATGAGGTCTACACCAGGTAGGCCTCATTCAAGTGTAGGCAATTATATTGCTGGATTCCGAACCCTTTTCTGTCAACTTACTTTGCAGTCTACTCAACAACTTTGGAAATGAACTTTTAACTAGTGTTTTATGTTTAAACCCATCAGTCTTCTTCCATTGTGTTAACACATCGCGCCAATATTTTTTTAAAGGTGCGTAAAAAGCAACATCTAATGGCTGGTGTAAATGTGTGGTTTTTGGAGGTAGGCAAACAAACATAATATTAAGTTCCTGATAAGTTTGTAATACGGATTGGGAAAAATGGGAAGATAAATTGTCTCCTATTAACACTTTCGGCCAACTTTCGTTTTTGTATATGGTCCTATAGTGGTATAAAACCAATCTTCAAAGCAAGTGGAATCGAACCAGCCACTTTTGACCGGTTGTACCTGGTTCCTGTGGGTCCACCCTCCAGCCATTGATCCCATAAATAATCAGCTTTATACACGACGTATACGGGTAATAACTGGCCGTCAGCAGTGCCCGTAAACGTTAAAGAAATAGACGTCTTTGTATTATTGATTACCCTTTCGGGGTATTTACAACCTCTCTTAAATAAAAATTTTTTTGTTGCCTGGATCATCTGTCAGGTTTTCCTCATCGTGATTGATGAGAAAGTTTGGGGAAACTCCTTCAACAGAATCTTTATAATATAAAAAAGTCGTCTATCACGGCTGGTGAGATTTAAGCGCATTCGCTGGATATATTTGACGCTTGACGATTTGAAATTTTTTATTTATACCTGATTGTGAAGTTTCGCCCCCAGTCTACTCCAGGCATATTATCTTTAAGGCTATATAGGGTTTTTTCCATTTTGTTTAGATACCTTTGTGCAAATACTCTAAGGTCGGTGGAATCAACAGGGAATCCCCATGCACTCAATAGCTTTATGTATTCTAAAAACGCCATCTCTTCGTCTTTTAAAAAAAGAGTTGGATGGCCGGCCTTTTCTTGTGTGCAGTTTATATTTCGGCATTTTCTGCTTAATGTACTCTTTGGGATATTGTATTTTTCAGCCGCCTCTTTTAACTTTAGTGATTCATTTGCAATTTTGCTTTTATGGCTATTTGTAAATTTTCATTAGAATAACTCAGGTAAGGTAAATGATTCGTACCGTTGCGTGAATTGGTGAACTTTCTTTGGTATGTCCGTACTATGGTTTCATGTCTGTATAACAAAATAATATATTATAAATAAAGTAATTTCTCCCATTAATTTGGCTATGATTCTAGACACAATAAAAAAACATCTTATCCTTAACGCAGTTAAAACGAGTAATTGGGGCTATTTGAAACGATAAATAAAACCCAGCAATTTTTGCAAGCTTGAAATGGGCTATTTAGTACTAAGTTTAAATTAACCCCAAAACAGAAACCAACAAGCCCCATTTAGAAAAAACTAAAAATACGGCAGTCTGTAAGAGATAGAAAAAAAAAAGAAAATATAATCACTTAAATGCACATGAAACACACTACTTCACAGTTTATTTCACTCTGTACATACCTTTCTGGATGTAGTGTACCAAGTAAAAGTTTTTAATCCACGATATACACCGACGGGCGAAAGTTCATAGAAAGCTGGGCCTGATGTTACAGTAACGATTACTGCATTATTTTATTTATATACCGATACCATTTCCAAAAAACAAAAATGTTTACGACTGCTTCATGGTAGAAAAAAATATAGGATGTTATTGGTTTGTATAAAAACAATGTTATTGATTACGTTATGCTTGCAATGTTATTCTTACACTAAGCACTCACATTACACTTTAAGAAAATATTTATTAGATTTTATTTTAAAATAGACTTCTCCATAACTATATGTATTGTAGAACAATCACACAGAGGATTCAGACGCCGCCGTCCAACTAAATTCTAGAGGTTTGAAATAATTATAAAAAAGCAGACGGAGTATGAATTAAAAAAAAAATTTCTTTTAAGGATTTATTAATCGTCCACTTCATCATAAACAAATAAAATATCGTCCAAAAACGGTGCATGCGGTATAATTATGGACATTACATGGCAACAGCAACCTACGGTTGTTTTTCCTACCAAGCAATTAAAATAATACTATTTGATGGCCTCTCTACCATTAAGAGTACTGTCAACTAAAATATATGAGAAATACATAGACTTATTATAATACTGCGTACATTTATATCAATGGTAAAATATGTTTTTGAGCTTAAGTATGTCTCGATTTTATTCGACGGTCTCTTAGTAGGTTGCTGACCGTTTCTCGACACACTTCTATTTCGTATCTCCCATCTTGTCGTATGTGTTCTCCATAATGGGACCAAGCCTACTTAATTTGATAAATACCTAAAGATATTTTTAATAAATCACTATGTGTGAGCTGGGGAAAATCATTTAAGTTATCATTTTGCACATGTATTCTTGTAAAATCGGAAAAGAAACCGTCAGTATCCTTTATACGTAGCCAGAGTCGTTAACCAAAACAAACCTAACAAATGATTTGATTGACTTTTGAGTTTTTGAACCATGAAGGTCATGTTTTGAACTAACGTTGACGTTTCCGCTTTGTGGCCTGTATAAAACATTGATAATCGATTGAGGAATCGATTTATTAATCTAACCAGTCAATTTATTTTTAAGACTCTTTTGAAACGTTGAAGTATCACGAGGAAACCATTATTTAAATTATAAGTTTCTTAAACTTACCTAAAGAAAAAAACACTGAATAACTTTTTATTGTCTTTTTTTCTATTTTTGTATTGAAATTGATTAACTAACCTATTTCATCCGGCAGCATTGTTTAAAAATGAAAATAACGGAAGTCAGTACTATTTTTATAAAATATTTAATTTCTTTTGCCATGATAAAACTGCTTAATATTTCATTATTAACTACAAAAAAACTGTAAAAAAAATATTGATAAATATTTCACTTGTGTAACGTTAGGCCCAAATTCGCCCGTCTCCTTTAAGGTTTTTTTTTTAAATAAAACACTGCTTAACGTTTATGGCCAATGACCGCTGAAATTCCAGTTTGACATTGATGTTAAAAGTCGTTGTATTGCCAGGTGGTAAAATATATTTCCTTCTATTCCCAAATAAAAAAGTACACACGATCAAATCTTTTATTTTGCAAATTCCAAATAACCTCGTGATATCCAAATAACCCCATTCTACGGTATTTAAATAATCTCTAACAAAATATACTTACTCATCGACAGTAAGCAGCATTTATCTTAGACGTATTGTAAATGAAATATCCATATATAATGTTATGGTAAGTTGAAAAAATACCTTAAACAACAAAATTTTTGTGTTTGAAATTATTTTCTAAGAAGTTAAAACAAAGGTTAAAGGTTATTAAGCCAAAACTAAGTTTAAAAACGTTTGGAAATTTCTTGAAAATTCTTTTCAATTGTTTGAAAAAACTTTTTCGTTCCGCATCGCTCCTAATCACTTTTTAAAATCAAATATATATATTTGATGTGGGTGTCCGGAGACTGGAACTATAGCCAGTTATCCAGCCACTTTATCGTTTTAAGGGCCGGTGGATTAGGCAATACTACCAGTATCCGGCCACCGTATTCTCGTACAAGATATTTTACCCAAAATATGTAAACAACTTATAATTGCGGCCGGAGCCTGGACATGTGGTTAAATAGAAAATAAGGACGATACAGCTAGTAAAATTATACTTAATAAAATGTTAATATATAATAAAATATAATAATTTACATCAACCTTCAAACCCAGTGTCCGGCCGGGATAAGTCGAACACTGGAAGTAGCCTTATTTCGTTCCGGTCTACTGGCCCCTTATTTTTTTTTAAATTATGTTACAAAGAACCCATATTTTACAATAACATTAAGTAAGTGGACGTATATTTGTGTAAAAAAACACAAAACTATTTTGATATAATGATTATAAGAACATGAACTCACCATTTAAAAACATCTCGCATTTTTGTCCACATTTTTTATTACACTTGTCAATTCAACACGCGTGTACTCACCTCTGTTTTTAATGTTAACTAAAACTACGCTGAATACTCGCGGCCGAAGTTGTTGCATATACGTTGTTGATAATTTAAAATAGTTTTTAAAAAGGGTTTGTGTTCAAAATTGTATCTGTATTCTTATTTTACTTAAATATTATGTCACGCGAACGAATATTAATTACTTAGAACTAAGTAGTAAAGCCATAAAACACCGCACCTTTTCAATGTAGTACAAATTCAGCACTAGCAATTCACCAATTACAATTACTAATGTCATAATATTAAGCTAATGAATAAAAGGTGCATTTTGTTATTAACGACTTTCATTCTTAGTACCTAGCTATTCAATTAATAGGATAAAGAGTATCTATCACATTGACCCTACAAAGTTTTTGAAGGTTTAAACATCATTCAAATTAGTGGTTAATTTAAGTATTAAAGCAGAGTCACTTTTATCGGGTGCATAATCAATATTTATTTATGAATGGAAGTGGTGGTACAAATATATCAAAAATAGAAATATTGGTTATGGTACAATCACAAAACTAAAAACGAATCCTCTTAGTAACTAAATATCTTAAGCAGTAACAATTTTAGAACCCTGACATTAGGAGCTTATCACCTTGTGACGCATGATAAGCCTTATACACTACAATAAACAATGGGTGCGTTTGGCAGAAAAAAGCGCTAGCAAGCGCTTGTAAGCAAAATGGCGAAATTAAACAGTTTTCGGCCAGGACACGTTTGCTAACTTCAGTATTTTCTGTTAAACGCATCCAATGTATTAAGTTACGTATTATACGCCTTCCTAATAATGACTGAACATAAAAAACTGCGGTTGCCAACCCGCTTACCAAGCGTGGCAACTATGGCAAATATACTCCCTATGATGGCAATCTATGGGGTAGGCCTATGTTCTATTACGATTTTTCCGGACCGATACGTATGATTTCTCTTTTATTAGATCGTAATGTCCCCACAATTGTTAACTTGTAAGGTTGTCGAAGTGACTGTTTTGCAAGTGGTACTGAGGTGAACCAGTTGTCCATAGTAACGTTTCTGTTCGTGCCGTGTATACTGCGAGTAAGTTCCTTTACGAAGTACTCTCCTAAAGGTAAACCTCCTGTATTGGTTCCTTTTCCAAGATACGGCAAACAGCATGCACCTTGTGCCACTGTCACACATCATTTCTAACTTGACTCCATACTTAGCGGATTTGTTCGGAATATACATCCGGAATTTGCACCTCCCCCGGAATGCCAGCAGCTGCTCATCTATTGTAACATTTGTTCCAGGAACATAATTTTGACGGCACTGAACCATACACAATTCCCATATATCTCTTATAAGGCGTAAGGGGATTGTCTTTTTGCCGTTGTAAGCGAAATGTTTTATCGTCGAAACGTAAACATCGCAGAAGGAAATCGCACCTCTTTACTCATACACGATAGATATCTTGTACCAGAATATTCTGTATTGAACTGTTCATCAAGGGTCAGATGATTGTCTTTCAGAGCAGCAGTTAACACCAGGATACCCAATAGAGCTCTGATATCCTCTTTGCCAGAGTCATTTTGCGTAGAAGTTATTTGAGCATAGGTCTGTTTTTTTATCGCAATCTCTCTGTTTGTCCATTTTATAACCTCATCTATTATCTGATCAGTCATGAACCGATCAAATACGATACTGGATCGACAATATCCTTTAGTGCGCGAGTTGGTCCCCTGGCAATACGTACAATATTTATTGCTACTGTTCTGTTGGAAGAACGCCCTTTGCTAGTTACCCAAACATAGCGAGACCGACTGCGGACTGTATTTGTTGAGAAGGACAATATACTTGGATCATTACCCTCATTTCTAGAGGTCGATGACGTGTTTGTGGTTCCAGCACATCATCCATCAAAGCAAGAGAAATCTGCTCTTGAACAACTTCATCGTCGGAATAACCGGAAGAATCTTCTGTCTGATTATCACTTTCAACAGCATCCATCTCCAGGTTATCTTCAATTTCACTATCAGATAATTCCTTCGAAGCACTGAAATCTTCCTCTTCTAATAACTAACGTGCTATATGTTCATCAGGTAGCGATTGTCTTGAAGTCATGATAATAACTGCAAGAAAACAAAAACAAAATTAGTTGCGAAAGTATACACAAACCCTAACCATTCGTCGAAACGACGAGCACTATCGTAATATCTCGAAAAATATTGTACTTACCTGCTGGACCCTAACGCCTCCCAGAAGAGCTCGGTGAACAATGAGTTGAAAGGCAACGTTGCTATGATCGCCTTTCGGTGTGCTGCTAATGTAGAGGTATGTCGTGTGCTATGTGCAGAGTATATTGATACATCAATTCTGGCCTCAAATAAAACATCTTTTATCCACCTGCTGAGTGTATGAGTTGAAGCAGAAGAATGTGGTTTTTTAATGGTGATAAAAAGAATATTTGTGTTCATCCGTAGTAGTCTTGTGGCTTCAAAATAATCACATAATGTTTTTGCAGGGCAAATACTCATATTCTCATTAAAAAACTTTAAGGTCAATAAAAGTTGAAGACCATTTATTTTGGAAGTTTTGATTAATTGAGGAACTTTGATTTTTATGCAATTATTAATAACATTAATGTTATCTATTGTTATCAAAGAAAAAGTTTGTAATCTTCGAGCTGTTGTTAAAGCTAGTAATATTACTAATTTTTTGGACAAAATACTTAGATCTAATTCTGAATTTGGGTATAAATTGCTTACATAATCAAGTACTAGACTTGGATACCCAAGTTTCTTTATATTTAGGTTGGTTAGGTCTTAATATAAAGATGCCCTTAAAAAATCTATTAATGTCTCCATTTGCACTTAATTCACTATCCAAAAGTAGTGACAAAGCTGATCTTAAACTATTTACCCCTTTTAGAACGTCTTGTACTAATCGTGCGTTGATGTTTAAAAAATTGTACTGATTACTAAATTTTATTTTACCGTGTGAAAACGACTTCGTTCGCTTGTGCGTTGATTTCGCCGTATAATGCGAAGGGTTGTGTGGGAGTAGAGCATATTAGTGGCGCGTCGTGACGTGTTCAAGATGGACTTCACTTTGTGGATCGTGACGGTCGACGTAAGTAAATTATTTTTCATTATAACTTATAAATTAAATTAATAAATTTTAATGTTCACGTACAATAATGTTAAATAATCCTAGCAACTTTATAAGTTTTAACTATGGTAACCGGCCCGCGAAATTTAAACGCACGATCGTGCGTTGTCGTTTTTAATTGTTTTCCTTAAGTTAAATGTTCATATCAATAACCTCGCATTTTTTCTCAGGACAACCTTTAAACTACGAGTTGTTACAAGATGTGCTTGGAGATGGGTGTCAGTCAGACCTGGACACATCGGATGAGGAAACAGAATCGGCTGTCAATGCACCTCGGCTACTAGATGATGAAGGTGATATAACCTTAGAGATTCCACCAGGTAACCATAACAGAGACAGTGACTCAGATCAAAATATGACTTTGACAGAGCTACAGCACAGAAATCAGGACAACTTACCCCCACCTGCAAACTCCTGCCACCACGAAATGCCTATAATATAATAGTCATCAGGCACAAAAAATACCTACAGTCGTACTACAAAAAAGCATTTAAACACTGGTCCAACATGTGTTTAGTTAAAAACGGACTTAAATGATAAACACATGTTAAACAATGGTTTAAATTTCGCTACCACTAAACCGTGTTTAACGCGTGCCTCTATAGACAACGTTCAACTTTATTCTCCAGGTCACACTGCAATACATTCGTTCAGCATTCGATCATTCGTTTTATTTTACGCAAATTAATACGACTAACTACATAAAAATTAAATTTTGTTTTGTCTCAAAGTTCAATAATAAAAAAGCTATATATATATGTTTATCTATATTCTTTGTAAAAAAATTCATTAAATATATTATTTATTAACAAAAACATATCAGTTACGCTTGGCAGTTAGATGAAGATAAATGTGAAATTATGTCAAACGCAACCATCTTTGTATAGATGTCAATGCTCAATGTCAGTTGTCAAACAAGCGTCCGCGACCGTTGCCTGCATCGTGTTTGTAAATTGTTTCGCTGTATTTAATTTGTGTTCACTTTTATCGTATTAAATAATGGAGTCGAAAGGAAATATTGCGCCTGAGAATCAAAAGAATCGTGCTCGAGGCGAAAATTGGACTCAAGAGGAAAAGGTTAGTTACGCTTATTCGTTTTAGGCAGTTGGTCTAGTTTTTTAAGCCGCATGAGCTAATTATTAAGAATATATAATAATAACACTGCTTGTTTTGTTTGTTACGTTTTTAATTACCTAAATATTTACTACTTTCAGGATCTGTTTTTGGAAATAATGAGGGAGTCAGCGCCTATTATAGAGAGTAAATTTACCGACACTAATACAAATAAAAGAAAGAATCTGGAGTGGATTAGAGTACAAAAGAGGTAATTGTGTGGTCAGACTGATTTGCTTAGTTAGTATAGATGTTGATCAAATTGATGATAAGTCTATATTTTTCTGTTACACCAAAATATATTTTTAAGAAGGTTAAATTAATAATAAAATTGGTATTCTTTTTTATTGCAGTCTTAAGGAACTCACTGGGAAATCCAGAGATCACCCAGTTAAAGGGTTTCTGGAGACGAACAAAAGTGGCTGCAAAGAAATCTGTGGCACAACATAGAAGAGCTTTGCAAGCTACTGGTGGTGGACAAAGGCCAACATCGCCAGGTGATGATCACCTAAAGATAGTGGAACTATGCCCAACAGATTTTTTTATAGAAGAAAATCTTTATGACAGCGATGCGGTCCCACAACACGTAAGTTTTTGAATTGTATGTACCAAATATAATGATGCAACTTTGCTTTATTAACTTTTATTAATTTACAGGGTGAAGTTATAGTTCTTGGAGGAACTGAAGAGTAAAACAACACATTGTATGATATAGACGAGGTGTGTATGAATATTATTAGTTTTAGATTAAATATGTTATTACTCATTTTTTAAATAAATAAAAAAATCTTTTCTTTCCAAAGGATGAAATTCTACCAGCAGAGGAACCAGCTGAACAGCAAATGATTACAGTGGCAAATGTGCATAGCGAAGAGGTGAGTTTACCTGAAAAAAAGTGTGGTGCTTCATACTGTTATTTTTTATAGGATAGGGTGACAAACGAGCACACAGTGCAACCGATGGTAAGCGGTTAATGTGGCCCATAGCCATCTACATCTACCCTTGTATGCGATATCATCGAATGCAGATGAGTTGTCATCCGTGAAGACTAAGATGGAACGCCTATTTTCTAGCAAAAAGGTTCTCAGGTTCTCTACACTCACCATACGAAACACAGCAGCATTAGGCTACTATTTCACGCTGGTATTCTGTGAGAGTGTGCTCCTTCCCCGGTCGAGCCGACCCATTCGTGCTACGACTATACTATTAATATAACTGCAGCATGGCTCTACCGTGTAGAACAAATATAGTTATAATTTATAGAGCTTATAATTATAAATAAAACTTAATGAAAATCATTATTCACTCAGATTGATATCAAGATGCCTGAATGCAGCAGAAAAACACAAATGATGTTTCCTCCAAAGGTGGACAAGAAACAAATTAGAGAAAAGAAAACAAATAAGTTGTAAGTAGATTATTTGTATATAATTTTTATGATCTACTTTACTATATTTTCATGTTTTGTAAGTATCATTTAATAAATGATTCACACTGCCCTGTTGTATCTATGAACAACCATTATTAGGAGAATTATGAGAAAAAAGACATTATTGTATGTATGTATGTATGTATGATGACTTCTCATATTTTGATTTCAATAATAAAAATAAATAAATATATAAATCATTTCTCTTCTCATAAATACAATACAATAAGTACATTACACAAAGAACATTAAAATGGTACTATCTACTTAGTAAATAGGTGCCTAACATCTCGTTGAGCCTAACGGTTTTTAATTAAATAAGTAAATCATGTCTGTTACAGGGCTGGCAAGCAAGTTTTATTAAGAAGCAATATAGAATTTAAGGAACGGGCTTCAGCAATGTTGGAAGAAAAACATAAATTAAAAATAAAATTTCAAGAACAAGAAATAGCTCATCAGCAGTTGCGGCATAAACTGGAAATTGAAATATTAATATTAGAAAGAGACAAAAAAGAAATTGGAATTAGAATTGTTAAAAAAAAAACTAGAATATAAGGACTAATTTTACATTTTTTTAAAATTTTTTTATTATACATTTTCATAGATTATTTTTTTATTATTTCTTATATTAAAAATTTTGGTTAATAAAACGCTGTCTAATAATTGCTCCCCTAACTGTAGATCTCTCAGTCTGTGGCCTGCGCCGCTGACGAACATACCGAACTATATCAATGTCTTCATTCATATCAATCGCTATGTTATGTAGCACTGCTAATGCTACAATTGTGGTTTTCGCTGTGCTTAGTTTCATAAACATGCCTCTTAATAGGCATCTGAATCTTTGTTTCCACAAGCCAAAACATCTCTCCACTGTATTCCTTGTTCTAATGTGAGCTCTGTTGTAAGCTTCCTCTTTGTCATTACTAGGATTAAGCAAAGGTGTAAAGAGATATGCAGTACATGCATATGCACTGTCTCCAAGTAATCTTCCATGAAAATCGCCACGTTCAAAGCGTTCTTTTATTGTGCTTTCGTTGAAAACCCGAGAGTCGTGAGCACTTCCTCTCCAACGTGCAACTATGTCTCGGATTTTCAAGTTTGAATCACAGACAACTTGCACGTTGATAGAATAGTAACCCTTTCTGTTCACATAGGCTTCACTCATATCGCCACCTACCCTTTTGACTCGTATATGCGTGCAGTCTATAGCCCCTATCACCGAGGGGAAATTACATATACTTCTAAATCCTCTGATGGTTTCCTGTTGATCTTCTAGTGTAGTGGGCATGTTGATGAATAAATGAGCTTTTTTAGCTAATGCTTTCCCAACATTATAAGCGATTTTGCTCACTGATTGCTGAGAAATCCCATGCATATCTCCACTGTCATCTTGTATCTGAAATAAAATTGCAAATAATAGGTAAACATACAGGTGATGGGTGAAGCTATTCTTCTCTACCGACGCCACACGTAAGCATAGTTTAATTTTGTATGAATCAAACTTACTTGATGACGAGCCCAGTACCGTAATGCACAAGCCACTTGCACTGCTGGGTCTATTGTGTTACCACGAGAATCACTCGGTATATCGTCTTTCACAAGATCTAATATTTTTATAGCAAAAAGTTTGCTGAACCTATATTTCTTCTTAAACTTGGTGTCGTCATATTTTTCAAACGGATTAACCCTCACACGAACCGTATTACTTTCTCGGAACATTTCCGCATAGTTATCCATGTCGTCTTCATCGAAGTAATCGACAAAATCAATTATATCCATGTTAAATAAAAATACTGAACTGACGGAAAAGATAGGTTAGATGCTAGTTAAACAAGGGTTTGCGGCTATTTAAATTTAAACAACGTCTAAGCCTTGCCTATCCATAAACCACCGTTAAACACTCTTTTGTAGTAACTCATTTCATAAACACGTGTTGAACAGATGTCTAACTTTTTTGTAGTAAGACAGCTAGAATCTGGAAATCTATTACTTATACTGATGTGGAGCATAATTTTCCTTCTCAACCTGAACCCTCTGGAATGCTGCAATATCTTTCTATATATTTCAATGAAGATTTTGTTCAAAAACATCGCACACGGCACAATTTTGTACTACCTGCGTATAACTGGTTCAGTCTTAAGCACAACCTTTCAAGAGATGCGCAAATTATTTGGTATACTTCTATTGGTGGGCCGTATACCATACCCATGAATTAATATTATTAACTGGCCGGCGTACAGGTATGCGCCTGGAAATAATCACTAGTCAAATGCCAAGAGACCGTTTTTTCTTATTAAGGAATAACATGCACGTAGTACCCACAGATGAACCACCTTCAGGAAATTCAAATCCGCTGTGGAAGGTACAGCCCATTCTAGACACTGTTAAGAAGGCTTGCTTGTCGCTCAAAAGGGTGGCAGGTGAATACTCAATCAATGCACATATTATACCTTTCACAGGGAAACGTAAATTCCGAGTCTTAGTAAAGAATAAACCGAGACCACTCGGATTAAAAAACTACATCATTACAAGTTACGGGTTAATTTTAGTTCGGTTCGGTTTTATTTAGTATACTACCATTTAAGTATTGATTTTTTGTTGTCTAGAATGACTTTTTATTTTGGAGATAATAGTACTTAAGATAATAATTATTATATTTTTGTTTGTTCTTTATATAAAAGAGACTGATTTATGTAGGCTTAGCATTAATTTATGTGTAAAAAGACCAAAAAATTAATTGAAATAAAAGTTAATATTAAATTACTGTGTTAAAAAATAATAATTTCTTTAATAATTATTGAATAAATATATTAGAAAATATTTTTTACAGTTCTATTTCCTATGCACGATCGTGCGTTAGCACACTTAAAACCGAGAGCGCACGTACGTGCAGGGGGCTACAGCGGAATTTAAAGAGGGAGGATTTTTTCTATTATTTTTTCTAAATACTTTATCTATTGTTTATCTAGAATTTAATATAAAATTTTTGAGAAGCGGGAGAATTGAAATAATACTAGTTTTTACGGAATTTATCGCGTATATTTAACTTTTTAAATACCCGACGTTTCGAGAGGTTTACAGCACCCGTGGTCACGGGAAGGACTGAGATGTTCAACGTCCAGATGTCATAGTTAACCGCGGTTACCATAGATTAAAATTTAACTTTTGTTCCGATCTACACAGTATGAACTTATGGTATCATCAAGTCTTGCAGTTGTATGCTTGGGTTGGGATTTAATTTTATTTATTATAGGATCCCAAGCAGATGGTAGCACCCAGCCATCTTCTCTGTTGAAATTAGGATGTTTTTTGATTTCAATAGCCTCGCGAATCATCCTTGGAAGGAATCGGTGTTCTTTAGCGAGGATTTGTGGCCTATCAAATCTGATGTAGTGACGGTGGCGATCCTGTAAATGTTCACAGACTGCAGACTTCCCGGAGCGTCGATTCTTCACATCAGCTATATGTTCTTTAACGCGGGTTTTAATTGATCTTTTAGTTTGTCCTATGTAGGAGTGACCACATTCACAATCGAGCTTGTACACTCCTGCATCTTGCAGAGGGACGTTACACTTGACTGATGGTAAAAACTGACCAATCTTCTTCGGCGGCTTGAATTGTTTTGATGGAAGCGCGCTTCAAGATTTAACCAATCTTGTCAGTGACTCCTCTAACATATGGCAGTACAGCAGGTACACGCTCGACTGTGGCCGGCTTCACTCGTTCTCTGTGACGTAGGCGCGGGACCCGAAGCTTATTGTCATGCAAAACTTGCTTGACGTGTTGGAGCTCGGCAGCCAGGTGTTTACTGTCACAGATCCCTCGTGCTCTCTGAAACAAAGATTTACCCACTCTCTGCTCCTCTCGACGCAGCGCGATCTGTCGCTGCACCGGCCTCGAGCCCCGTCCCCGCTCTTCCTCGCGCCATCGATATAATGACTTGAGTACTTTCGCCTCTAGGTCCCAGGGCGGGGATCCGGCCAGGACGCAAGCCGCCTCGTAGGAAATCGTGCGATACCCGCGGATGACTCTGACGGCCATCGCCCTCTGCGGTTTGCGCAGAATGGCGAGAGTGCTGGCCGTCATGTCCATCGCCCATACAGGGCCATGGACCGCACGATTCCCACGTACAACCGCCTACAGGCGGCGCTCGGGCCCCCCAAGTTGGGAAGCAGCGTTGAAAGGGCGCCAGCCGCCGGAAGTGGGGCCTAAATTCCCATCGGCTGTCGAGCATCAATCCCAGGTACATCATGGTGGACTCGACAGCTATCCGGGCTCCGCTGACCACGATGTGCGATCCCGGAGGCGGCGCGCGTCGAAGGCCATGAAACACCATGGCCTGCGACTTGTTAAGGGCCACCTCCAGGCCCAGGCACCGGATGCGGTTCACCACTTGTGAAACCGCAGCCGTGGCAACCAACGCTGCTTCCCTGTGCGAGCTCCCCCGGGCAGTGACGAGCGTGTCGTCTGCATAGCAGGTCAAGTCAGCGCCCGACGGGAGCTCACCTCTCAGCACCCACTCGTAGCCGAAGTTCCACAGGAGCGGTCCCAAGACCGATCCCTGCGGAACACCGCACGACATGACGCGCCGACCAGCGCTGTCACGTCCCCAATACGTGACGCATCTCTCCTCAAGGTAAGCCCCTATTGTGCGGCAGAGGTAGGGAGGCACGCGATGGTAATTAAGCGCCTCCCGAATACAACTCCAGGGTAGGGTGTTGAAGGCGTTGGAGATGTCTAATGACACCGCCAGCACCACCCCACCCCGGGATACTGTCTCCTCCGCCAGGGCCCTCACGCGCGTAATAGCATCCGCGACGAAAACCAAACTGGTTCTCGTCCAGGTCTGGCCCCACTCTGCACAAGTGGCTGACGAGGCGATCTGTGATGATACGCTCAAGAAGTTTGCCCGCCTCGTCGAGCAGCACTATGGGCCGGTACGCGGACGGTGAGTCCGTGGGGCGCCCCTCCTTCCTGAGTAGGACCAGCCTTCCCTCCTTCCACACACTGGGAAGTTGACCCTGCTCGAGACATGCCGTGAAGAGCCCCCCTCAGCTGGGGCTCCAGCTCCTTCAGAGCCAGGACGAGAGCTCGACCAGGAACTCCGTCGGGTCCGGGCGCTGTGTTCTTGGCCCGAAATCGCGCCATGGCCGCTCTCATCTCTGCTTGCGTCACCTTGGGGACATCGGTGCTCTCCTCCTCTGGAGAGTCTGTAGCTGAGGGCGAAGCCATCGCCGGGGGAACGTGTCCCACTCGTTCAGGGAAGAGAACTGATACCACCGTCTCTAGCAACTGGGGTTACATTGTTTGCGTTAGTGGAGGCGCCCAGGAACGCAACTTGCCCCGTACCCAACGGTAGGGTACCCCAGCAGCTCCTCCCTGGCACGCGACTTCGAGTCGCCGATGGCCAGCCACAGAGTCTCCTTAGACGCGGTACACCTCATACAGCGCGTCCTCCTCGGCGGAATCCCGTCGACGCCGTCTCCGGTATCGGGTGTACCGGCGATGGGCCGCAACGCACGCTATGCGCAATTGCGCGATCTCGGCGGTCCACC